TAATACCAAAAAATTACATACAAAATACTTTGTAAATACCAAAAATTGATATTTGGATACCAAAAAAATACCTGGGTGGTATTGTTTTGGTATTGCATTATCATAATTTGGTATTGGAATGGTATTATGGGAACATTTTTTTTATATTATTTGTTGGTATTTTACATCTTATGTCAGACTAAAAGTAAAAAAAATCTCCTTAAAATAGATCGGGTTGCTCCTTAAATGATTGATCAAAATACGTTAAAAATCTTAAAATGCTCAGTAAATATTTAAAGTACGCTCCCTAAAATAGAGAAAACTGTACATTAAGCATTTGAAAATGCTCCTTAGTATGCACCGCTTTGCACCATTTTAAAGTGTAATTATACCATATATCATCGGTAAAGCTGCTGTAGAAAGGTTAATAAGTGCCATGAAATCAGCTGAAATGTTCAGTAAATCATTTTGTGCATTTGTGCATTTTTACTGAACATTTCAGCTGATTTCATGGTACTTATTAACCTTTCTACAGCAGCTTTTCCGATCAGTCAATTCCCTTGCGTTTGACGTTTGCACACTACCGCCATCTATTCAGCGTTCTGCCCAGCCGGCGCTGGTGGAGTAGTGGTAAGCGTGACTGCTTTCTCATCCCAATGGGTCTGGGTTCAATCCCAGCCGAGGTCGGTAGGATTTTTCTGATGCATAAACATCTCTGGTCACGTCTTCCTTCGGAAGGGAAGTAAAGCCGTTGGTCCCGGCCCATGTGTTGAATGGGTGCGATGCGTGAAGAAGTATTTAAGAGAAGATTTGAGGAAGGTTTCAAATACATTTTGAGGTAAATTTCAAAGGAATACCACAGACATAAAACATTGAATATTTCTCACTGTAAAACATCGTCACTAAAACATTACCGCCATCTGTTGAGTACACTGTCGTGGGCAGAACGCTTTATTTTTTTTTTCCTTTATTTAACGTCGGTCTCTGTTCCACAATCTAGTGCCAACAGCCCAGTGGCAGGCGCGTAGGCAACATGTTATACGGTGACAGCGCGCCCAGCACAGTAAAATAAATGATTTGAGCCCGGAACATGCTGCCTACTGTCAAAAGCTGCTGTTGGTATAGGCCTTGTCACTGGCCTGAGTGCCAATCACCGACGGACATCGATTGCCATCCATTGACGGCAATCGAATGTGCAGGAAGGCAGCTTCCACACCTGCGTAGGGTGAGAAAGTAGTCACGCTTACCACTACACCAGCGCCGGCTGATTCTATATCCGTAGTCTTGAATATTTATTTTCATTCCGGAATCTTGATAATGTGTACAAGTTTGATTTCATTAGGTTCAAGTTTTCAAAAAATAGCCTATATTTAAAACCTGCTGAAATTTTCCATGGCTCAGAACCTTAAAAAAAAACAGTTCAAGCATAAGAGTTAAGGTTGTTGCTAAAGATAATTCCAGCCCAGAATTATTTCGTTCAAAGAGTAAGAGTAGGTAAGGAGGAAGATGCCTACACTGAGGCAAATAGCCTTTAGTATTTCATAAGGCTCGACTTATGAACGACAAATATGAATTTCATAATGGCGACATATGAAAGATTTTCGTCTAACATAACGTAGCTCTTATACGCCCTTAGCCATTCCATTTACCCAAGCGTCGACAGACGAGTGGTTCAGACGTAGGTCCCTTAATCTCAACGTCAATGGTCCAGTCTGCTCCATTTTATTCGTTTTTTTTGTAGACATTATTTTTCATAATGCAAATTTATTAAATTCAGATCGATTTCTTGTGGCTTAAATTCATAAGTGGTTCTTATGGAATTCTTACGTTCTTTTGTCTCGGTGTAGTAACTCACTTTTTTGTGGTGCGTTACTGGCATTAAGATCTACCACCAAAACCTAGTCTGAACTACTTCAAACTAGGGGAACAGGATTATTTTGTAGTCAAAGGAACACATCTTAGTCCTTTTCACTTGTTATGCCTTGTTGATAGTGACAAGACTCGGCTTTGTCCACCGAGGATGCTCTTGTAACAAGGAAAAAATATTAAGGTAGTTATTTTTCATCTACGTGATTCCTAATCTTTTATTCGCAGTTGTCTAGTTTGAAGTGGTTAATAGTACGTTCAGACTAAAGCGTTAAATTATGTAAACACTATCTTGATGGTGGTTTCTGTGTTGCAATTATTTGACAACCATTATAACATGTTATAACTGCTCAGTCTGGCCAGTGCTTAAGACTAGTGTCATTGCTCATTTTGTGATGGAGTAATACGACATGCACTAAACTAAGGACGCGGGGTATACCACAATAGATCAAATAACTGGTCACAGTGGATTTATGTTCCGAACAGAGGGAAAAGAAGGAGGAAGATAAAGTTGGATGTATTATTAAATATTTTAAAATTCCTGTGATGGTTCTCTTACGTACTTCAATATATTCTATTATTTAAAAAAAAATCTTTTCTGTTTCCTTGATTTGTTTTCCGTCGATCTTGTTTTCCGTGCTGACCACCAATGCTACCGACGCCAGGGAGGCAGCTCCCACACCTGGACCCTACCTATCGACCCATCAACTCATGAACCGGAAACCTACGGCCTGCTGGGGTGAGAGGTAAAAACGCTTACCACTACAGCACCGGCACCGCTGTTATTAAAAATTTGCTTGAAAATGGAATTTCAAAATTCCCTGATAATTCCAGGTTTTTTTTTTCAGGTAAAATGTAAAATGTCCATGTTTTCCCAGGCAGTGGACATCCTAACTGACGGATAATCAATGATTTTTTTGTGTCAGAATTCCATAATTTGTCATTCAAGGTTGACTAAAAACTGAAAGGTCACGTTTTGTTATATTGGTATTCATTTTATAGTTATTTAACAAATTATTTCGATGACTGACAAATAGAAAAACAAGATTTCATATCGCAAGCATACCAAAATAATTTATCATACCTGTTTAAGAATTCAAGCCACTGTATGATGGCCATTTTTTTTAAATTCCATTACGCATCATGATTTGTTGATATATAGAATTACTGCAACTTGTGTAGCCAATTTTTTCCGGCCCGCGGAAAATTGTGCTTTGTGGACTCTTTCTGTTTTAGTGCGTATAGTTAATGTCATCCATGCCAACAGGTAATTACTGCCATGGGATGAATAAATCGATAATTTATTTTTATAGAATTCATTAGAAAAAAATATCACCCAGTCACAAGCTAAGGTTAGGTCATTGTGGTCCTTGATACTCATTATAACTAACAATCGACTTTATTTTTAATTATTGTGCGATTTGATGTCTCACGCTAGGGGGATTGATACACTTTAATTATTTTTCACGAGAAAGATACTCTTAAGAAACTATTGCTGGGAAAACAAATCTTATTTATTTGAATACTAGATATCAAACCATTTGATATAATAAGGGGACAAGTACCCCCATTGTGGGGATACTTGGTCAGCTTTTTGAAAATTCTGAAAAATCGGCTTAAATTTCACTAACAATAATTTTCTATAATAGCATGGTCTTGAAGTGTGTCTTACTGATAAGATTAAATTTACACATTATTTTCTAAGATTTTGACTAAAATCAAATGGAGCACACACTACTAATAGGTCATGTAAATTTAGATTCCCTGTGACCGACACATGTAAGCAATCCTTTAGACATAAGAATCAGTTGAAAGAAAAGAGAAAATCAATTCAATCAAACGTTCCCTTTAATCGAGTTGCTTATGTTTTGATTTGAGAACACTTAATTTTACATGCAATGTTTGTTTACGTTCCATGATTTACGTCCAATATGAATTACGTCTCGCGTAAAAGTAGTTATTTCTAAGTGTGCGGTCAAGTATCCCCATCTTCTCCATCACCTAAATGCACACTATATAAAACCTCTCATAAACGGTCTATGTAGTTTATAAACAGCCCCTATTTGAGGATATTATTTTTTTTAATTTCTAAACATGATTTTACAGTGATTACTTGAAGAGCATTTTATTACATACATTTTTTTTTTTATTAATATTTTAATGAAACCAGTTTTTTGCATGCCAATTAATTCAGAACAAGAAATTAATTTTTTAGTTGAAAAGGCCACATTGGGTAGCATCTAACCATCTAACATATGTCCCTTTGGTTCCCTTTGGTTTGTTTTTTCCGTCGATCTTGTTTTCCGTGCTGAGCACCAATGCTACCGACGTGCCAGGAAGGCAGCTCCCACACCTGGACCCTACCTATCGACCCATCAACTCATGAACCGGGGACCAACGGCTTTACTTCCCTTCCGAAGGAAGGTGTGATCAGAGATGTTATGCCTCAGAACATCTAGGCGGCGCCGACTGGGATTGAACCGGTCTAACATATGTGCCAAGTTTCATTCAATTCAAAATGGGTTGGGGTAAATGTGCAATCAAAATTTTAAAGAGAGGTAGCCAAATATGAAATTTGAGAATTCCTTGGATTACTTAGCAGATTGTTTTGTTGCAACGAACCACCCTACCATGCAGCTCTTCATACTCTTCCATATACCATTATTAGGTTCTTAAAGAGTATATGCTTGAGTGTTTGCTATATCACTATCGTCGTCACTAAAAATATGCTAGCACAACATATTTATAGATTGATGCATGACGACATTCGGACAGACATTTATTCCAAACGAGTCCAGTAGAAGAAAAACGACGTCGGTTGGCTGCCGTTTTTCTGTCATCCATGTTTACATATGGTTTAATCTTCATAACGCATCCTTATCGTAAATTGTATGCCATTGTTTTGTCATTCTCGCTGACAAATTATTCTTTCGTCATAATTCACGTCACAGTCCAAATATTGTAGCCCAAACAACCTTTGCAATCCAAGTATCTGATGCACCAATACTTAAAAATAACGTATTTCACGGCATTTTTTCCACTATAAAATGATATTTAGTTTAAGTTGTCCAAGCTCACAGATTATTCCAATACGAATGGCAATATTGAACTACATTGCACGACACTCATCATTATCATTATAGGAGTCTACACACCTTTGCCGAGTTAATACACCTGATCCATGTACAATTATTAGCGAAAAAAGCGGATACTTAACACACTTTTCTGAAACTTGCAAAACTCAAAACTTCAACACTGCGGCTAGACAAAGTTTTTATTTAGCGCACATGAAACTTTTTTCGCTATTTTCTAATAAAAATAGTTAGCAGAGTGCAAAACATGCACTACACACTCTGCCGGATGACATCTATGGAGCTTTATGTCCGATGACAGCCGTCCCAATCGTGATGTCGAGCGTCGCAAATGTCAGCGGATGAAGTGTTCATGCGCGCAGAAAAATATGAAGTGCTGTAAGCATTTTGTGATGCTTTCCAACATGTGTAGGTACACTGGTACTGGTATAGTAGCTTTATGAAAAGAAGGTAGAAAAATGAAAGTTGCTTCTGTAGTGGATTTCCAGACAGTAGAACCAATACCAAATCGCACCATGCAGAGCTTTACTCTTGCAATGCAGATATCTTGATATTGTGAAATATTTCAAGTTTGAATTTGCAACGGTGTACTCTACCAAACGAAACACGTGTAACAAACCAAATCGGCATTATGTCTTATAAGAACAATGATTCGCTCGTATTCAAACCAATTTGAAAAGATGAAACGTTTGCTCTTGATAATGTTTATATTTTAAAGGAGTGTGTTGTCAAGATCGTAAAAACACAGCATAACTTGATTATTTCTTTTTAAAACTAGACATCTCTTCAAGAAAGTTGACCTAACATCAACCAAAAAAAATCTATTAAATCAATTGTATGATAATTAAGAAAGGCTAATGAAAATTTCATTTTCCACACAAAATAATGAACCGATCAAACACAACTTTCTCCTATTTTCATGAACCTTTGTATGATAGTTGGTAATGAGAAATAATTAATTTTTGAGATGGAATTCCATGTTGAAAAATGCGTAATCGAAATGTATAAATAAACCTTAGCATGACAATGTATGTTCCAATCGAAATGATATTTGGAACATAGTTGATGGAAAATCGATGGTTTACCCAAATCCAAATACATACATAACACATTCCAGGTCTCTTGTATTCTTACAGATTTGATAATTTTTAGTATTTGTATACATACTATACATAATCTTTAAAATTCAATATCTTTTAATTGAAACATATTGTTTTTTTTTTTCTTGTTGAGAGATCCTTATGTAAACATGCCGTTTAATTCCACTACTGTAAAACGGGGTATCTTTGAGAATGCGGGTAGCTTTGATAGTATAATATAAAGAATAAATTTACTCGCTGTGCTCTTTCCAAATAAGAAACATTGGTTCCATATTGTAGCTTAGGGTATTTTTCAAAAAATATTAATACACCATTTTGATGTTTTTCGCCTTTTTGAAAAAGCACTCAAACTATCACTTATGAAATGTTTTTTTCCGATACAGCCATCACAAATTCAATGTTGTATTCTTATTGCTTATCAAGTTTCATGATTATATACTCATTCAAAGTTTCATATTTAAAGTTTCATTTTTTTCTACATTCATCGAGCATTATCAAAGTAACCCCAAATCAAAATACTGAAGTTCGGTCACAAAACTAAAAAAATAGTGCAAATGCTTTAATTTTCGTTCAACATATTACTAACGAATTAACTGTTGGATCCTCAGTACTTGTTTATAAAATTTGAAAAACAGTCATTGCTGTAAAAAATATTTAGAATATACTTTAAAATCAATGGTACCCCGCTTTACGGTACCTTAATTGTTTATCCTAAACAGATAAGCGTATTTTGACTACTTTGTGCAGACTTCTTCAGTGTATTGTACTAATACGCAGCGTTTAGTACAAGACATTGAAGAATTCTGCACATTATAGACAACATACGCGCAAAGATAAGTAGTTAAGGTAGTGGAATTACATGAAAATTACAAATCCTTCTCTCTTTCTTACCGATATTCCACTAAGACGCCCACATTCATCAGGAAGATTCCATGCTCAAAAAGTAGTTGATGATCCAGAAATTTAGTTCATATGCTTGGACATTTATTTGGTTCTCCGTATATTGAAAATCTGAACCAGATTACAGAATTAAATTTATTCGAAATTTCGGGTAGACAAAATAATATTTTTAACATGGATTTATTGTTAAATAAGCCGCACATAGAACTTTTTAGAGCTGTAAGTAATTTTCGCGGGTATCACCCCACACCCGGGTGGGCTGTCCCATGGTGCCTGACTGCCTACCACGCAACACCCCTGGCAAATACAATTATACTCTATGCAGAAATAAGTCAATCCGGATTGATGATTTACACCGGACCCGGAAACGAATCTGTGCTTGGTTATTCCGTCCCTCAGCTGACTAAGCTCTCTAAGACCTTAATTTAAAATTTAAAAATTCATTCAATCATTTATTCCTTCCTGGGGGGTGAATCGCCTTTTGCTTCTGCTTTCTACCTTCCTTATTGGAACATTGCAAGGATATTCGTACAAGTAGTTGTTACGCCACCATGTTATTGAAATCAAAATCTGACTAATCACAATTCCAATGTGAAACTGTAAAAAGGCGCGATTGCATATTTGCAGCCCAGTGGCAGGCGCGTAGGCAAAATGTTATACAGTGACAGCGGGCCCTGTGTTGGGGAAATCGATTTTCGCAAGCAATCGGTGATGATCTTAATTATCATAGCAACAGTTGCACATCCGATAAATTTAAAAAGAAATGATAACGTATTAAATTAAACAGATGCTTAGGAATATTTCTGATCGATTGGTGATAAAATTATTGAAATTGGACCAGGGGCAGCTAAGTTATTAACGTTCAAAATCTTTCATAATTTTGTTACATGTTCCATACAAAGTGTAACCCCATATAGAAATCACAGATATAGCCCTACATAAAAAAAGTATCGATGAAACACCTACCATACGAATGCTTAGGGTCAGCCCTGTCATATGAGACTAGCATGGAAATGTTGTATCGGGGTTCCAAAACAATGTGATTTTTTTTTTCATATTTTTTAGTAAAAATCACGTCCAAATATTAACCCTGTCAAGAGGGGCACCGTTTCGTTTGGTGGGTGATTCGGCGATAATGATTTTTTTATATAAATGTTATCTATCCAGAGACACCGTAAAATTATCAGTCACGCCTTTTTCGGAATTCAAGCTAGAAATCTCTCGTTTGTATCATTGTCTCATTTGTATGAGCTTTCATTGGGGCCCAAAAGAGACGATGTTTTTATAAGAGAATAAAAGTAAATCTGGTTGCATGACCAACTATGTTATTCTGTCTACAAGGTTTGGCAACCCGCAATTTTGTTTTTACTTCGAGTGACTTTTAATTTGAGCGACTATCGTCTGCTTCAGCGTTTCGGTGAAACGAAAACTTCTTTGATCGTGTCATTATTCAAAAAAATCCATTAATGGCACGGCATCCTTCTGTAAAAATTCACCGTTATAAACTTAACAAAATGTCAGTTTCTTCTGATATATCACAGACAGCGTTGTCAGAGACAATTGGTTTTCATTTGTTTTTTATTTCGATTTCCGGTCAAACCGTGAAGGAAGACTTTCAATTATTTACTATATTGATAATTTAATTTTCGTTTAAATGAAAGTCGATTTTAAAATTATTTATTATATTTCAGCTACATTTGAATAACGATTTAGAATTATCGGATAGCGGAGAACTGTTAGCAGCTCCAGGTCAGTTCGTGTATTTATATTTTTTGCATATTTGAGCTAGAGAATAAATAATGAAATTTAGGATGATATGAAGCATTATAATAGGCCTGACTTGATTAAAGATTTATACTATAATAGGCCTGACTTGATTAAAGATTTATACTACCTTTACTACGCAAATTTATTTATAATTATTTAAATCTAATTTATTTAAAATTAAATTTCAACCTCACTCTCAATCCTCCCCACACTTTTCCTCGAGAAGCGCTCGTGTTTATTTACATTGCTCGATTTGAACCACATTTGACGGTTCGATTGGAAGTTTTCGCTGAAGCTTGCAACACTGATGTCGATCAATGGCCATTTTTTGGCAACCTTTGTTTGGATGACTTCACCTAGGTTGTGAAAGTTTGCTGACATGATAGGATGACATGATTTATGCAAACAATACTTTCCATGCAACATAGTCAGTTTGTCTACTATGCTCGATAGGCACCCAACAAACATTGGATGCAGAATAAGAGTTTCTTCAGGAAAAAATATGCTTCTTCAGCTAAAAAATTGCTTATTCAGCCTTTGTTCAGCACAAATTGTTTGTTGGGTAGATAGTTTGACAGGTAGATTTTGTTTTCAGTCTGCGTAACTCTTCTATTATCAACTCTGAATCTTCGTGCGTCTCTTATTTAACATCGTCTCTGGGGCAAGCGGCGCTGGTGGTGTAGTGGTAAGCGTGATTACATCTCACCCCAGGAGGCCTGGGTTCAATCCCAGTCGGCACCGCCGGGATGTTCTGAGCCATAACATCTATGATCACGCCTTCCTTCGGGAAGTAAAGCCGTTGGTCCCCGGTTCATGAGTTGACGGGTCGATAGGTTGGGTCCAGATGTGGGAGCTGCCTCCCTGGCGTCGGTATCATTGGTGCTCAGCACGGGTAACAAGATCGATCAAAAACAAAACCAAGAAAAAAAATCGTCTCTGGGGCCCGCAGCGATGTTTGGTGAATAAGATAAGGGTGCCACCTGGCTGAATGCATGCATTTGTTTAGTGTTCGAATTTTTGGGAGGAATAAATTGTTTGCATTGATAAAAATTGTCTTTGGATAAGTTTTTCCACCTATTTTAGCCAATCTTTTGATTTCAATAACATTATGGTGGTCCTTTCGGTAAATGATTTGTATAAATGAAGAAACATACGTCGCTGAATTTTTGATACCTCCCAAGTAACATTTAAAGTTTTATGAAATACTACAAAGCAACTATAAAACAACATTCATAAAACCCTGGTCAAGACTATTTTGTCATTAATGCATCCACCAATACGTCATTAAGACTAGAATATGTCTAGTTGGCCCACCCTGGAGAAGGTTCTGAAGGGTGTATTCTCGAAGCTCTTCAAGATTGATTTACTGCAAAAGGTTGTATGACGAACGCATTGTGAACCATTTGAGCTACAATAAAAGCTATTTAGCAACAATTAAAACCCTTTCCGAGCCATTTCCTCTAGCCGCATGCTGAATCCACTAGGAAAGCATCAATCAAGATAGAAAAGGATTTATGAATCCGATCTCATCAAAATAGTTAAAATAGAAAATGATGGTACAAAAATCTTGTTGAATATCCAAATTTATTACGATAGTTCTCATTTAGTGGCATTGTTTTAAGCACTATATTAAATTTGATTTCAAATGTATGTGAAAACATCGAAAAAATAAGTTCGCCCTCGTAAAACGTCGATTTGACTAATAATTTTACATTAAAAAAAATAAATTCTTCAGATCGAGCTTGGCCGAGATTAATTTTTATGATTTTTGCATTTAAATGTTTGCTCATTGCTAAATTTACCAAAATATAGTTTTATTCAAGGAAATATAGATTGAAAATCGTAGATTGTAAAAAACAAGCAAACTAATTGTAACATGGCGGTGGCATAAAAGATGATTTTCATGGGCCATTTGTGAAAAAGTTGTTTTGCTTTCAAGAAATCCTTAACAAATTCAAAAGGTTTGAAAATGGATTTTATGAAGAAAACTTGCAGGCTGAATTGTATTTATCTAAAGCCATTTTGCTTGATCCTAACCCGTTTAGATTTATGGCAGCATTTATGGAGGCAAAGTTGCCTGCAAAAAGTTAAACGTCAAAGTTTGTTTATCTTTCGATAGTTGCGCTCTGGGATTCAGGGTTCTTCAAGGCGGTTTTCTCCCGATGGATTGTGAGCAGTTACTCAGATAGTTTGCGATACTGTTTTACAACATTTCGCATTTCAAACAGCTGGAAACGCAATCGTTCCCGAAAAGATCCCCTTCTTCCGGATGGTTACAGAAGTGCACCATCCAACGATGCAGTGATGTACGCTTGAATGAAATATTTCTTAAAGTTGATTCTTCGCCGAATAAAATCGCTGCTATGGATCGGAAACCTGCTAACTAACAATTTCAGTGGTTTGCTGTCGGTTGTCATCTTTTTGCAAGATCTGGAGAAGGCTGGTATGTTTTAAAACTTTCGACAATGTTTTATGAATTCAGTTTATGAATTCAGTTTACTCTTCTCCGCCAGATGGTCAGTCGTTGATGGTGTGCTGGTTCTTCTAAAGAAGTAAATTTTGCTGAAATCGACTTGAATTTTTCATCCTACTTCGTCTATCCTTCGAGATTTCCTTGTCATAAATTTTGCTTTATTAACTATGAGGAACCATCTTTTAAGCTCAATTTGTAAACATAGCTGATGGGGGGAGATGGCTGTCAAATACGAACAATCGTCGCCTACCTCGCATAACTGGTTCCAAAAGTAAACAAGCCATAAGAAACCTACAGCGTTTGTTTACGTTTGGAACCAGTTTCATACAAGAATGATCAGTAGGCTGATTTGACAACACGCCCCCCCCCCCCCCTCCTCAGGGTAAAACACTTCTTGGGAGGGAGGCAAAACACCAAAAACAAGCGAAAAGAAAAACCGACCAACGCGACACCACAGTAACACAGCTACTCAAAACAAATCAAACTTAACATTGCATTAGGTCCTAAGTAACATTGATCGATTCTCTTCGTCGACTTTCTCTTTCGTTAATAACTTGACCACATAACCGTTTCATGTTGTGTTGGTAGTATTAGATGCTATTTAAAAGCTTTTTTTTTATCGATCTGTGAGCTGAAAATATCTGGGAATGTCCTTATAAGGCCGTGGGAATACAAAGAGAAAGTCGATGAAGAGAATCTGTCAATGTTACTTAGGACCTAATGCAATGTTCAGCTTGAAATTCTTGTCCCAGAGTTTTCACGTTAATAACAATATCACTAAAAAGCTTCTTAAGACGTGATAGATCTTAATTTACACTTATCCACACGCGAAAACTATATATATATATACATATTTTTTTTTGACTTGGTACAATTAAAAAATATGCGGAAAAGGAAAACAGATGAAATCAGCGCTAGCGAAAACCCGGAACTTTCATGTTCTAATAATAACTTAAAAATGAGAATGCTTAGAATTCAATAGGCAACCTTCAACCAAGCTGCTTAAGCCTCAAAAAGCCCTTTATCAGAACTTTTGGTTGGTTACCCACATCAATCCACGCATATTTCCCTCCAGCCGAATATAGCAAAACACGTTTAGATAGTTATGGCTATACGTTCCTATTATGGTGTATTCCAATTATGCCCTTTGTAAATCCCATATGCCAGTGGTACATCTACTCTATCTCAACAGCAGTTTTTTCGTTCAAAACTAAAACAAAACTAAAAATTTGTTTAATATATTCTTTTGGCCAACTGAAACACAGTAATTTTCGTTAAAAGAATTGCGGGTTCAACCGGAAAGACTACCGTTGGAAAAATGATGTTCGTCCTGGTTGCAATGACACGATGGAAATGTGGGAGAATTTATAAGACAAACATAATTCTACGTTTTCTGCACATTTAATTCTAGATAAACTTGTCCATTTTTCATGAACTTGGAATACCAATTTACAAAAAAAGCTTGGCTTGGCCAAGTTTAAATGTTATGTTGTTGTTGTTGTTGTATTTGCATCCAAAGTAAATTGTTATTTTTTACATTCATTATTGCCTGATTGGTGTGATGCATTTAAAAATGATCTTCCAATTATTTTTATTTCAATGAACAGCTAATAAGCAAAAAATGTCGAAATGAAAATAATTCCATGTCAACACCTGTTGCCTGGAGTATTAATTGCATTCCCACCCTACCAGCTTTGCAGTCATGGAAACATTGCGAGCCAAACATAACAGCTATTTTACTTGAAAACGAAAGACGACAACCACATTACGGTAAAGAACCCTCTTGCACTGGTCAACAAGGGAGTAGAACGGTGACAAACCAAAAATCTACCAAATGTCCGATTTGTATGTGTACTGCAATGGACGAACGGTTAGTGGAAGTGGTGGTGGTTCAGCCACTTCCAAGCACGCTGAATCAGGTGAGTACTCTTACATGCCCGCCATATTCGTTTAGTTGAATTATTCTTCCGCTGAAATCGCATACTGCATTGCATTCCAAGTTACCTACTACGAACCTTTCGCAGCTCAATTGGCCACAGTTGTATCTTACTAATTACACGCTCTGATTATCCTTTTACCATCCGTTCCTGGCAGCGATGGCATCCAAGGTGATGACAAATCGAAACATGAACTGGCTCATCCATGAGCTTTACACCAGAAAGGATTTTTCTTTATGCAAGAAGCTGATTGGCAGGCAACTGACGATAAACTATGACAAAGAGTTCCTGTATTACACCAAGGTGAGGCCAACGGGGGTGTTATGATGAAGGTTTTCACTACCCCCCTCTCGTTCTAATTTCGCTCGCAGGGACTAATATTGCGGGACGAAGATAACCCAACGGATGCAATCAACTGTTTCCAGCAGGCCATACTGGTGAATAGAAAGAACTCGGAAAACTACAAGGAGCTTGCGAAAACGCTGTGAGTAGCACAACGGAAGGATACAGTTACAATTATTGTCAGTGGCATGCATTGGAAGGAACAATGGGATTATTTTTATTGTTTGTTGGTGTGTATGTGTGTATGTGTGCTTTGATTTTAAACATTCTTTAATGGATCTCTAGGAGCTAAATATAGATTAAGAAACGCACTTGATTCTATTGTTAAATCTTGTCTCATGGGTAGGTTCAAGAAACTATTTAGCCTTATTGCGTGATGTTACCAACTTTTCCACAGTTATTTACTTTGCATGTTCCACTCTAGGTACGTTGCAAAAATGCAGTCGCTACATAATGAGCCATATGCGTAAAATCTCCTGTGCTTTTCTGTCGGGGGAAGTAAAGTAAACTCTTTTAATATACGGACCAATATTTAAAAGAAGGACGTTTTTACACCTATTTCTTCATTTTGTTGAGTCTACTGCACACACTACAGATATCGAGAGGCGAGCAAAATTAAAAAAAAATCTTTCCACAGTTTCACCATGGGTCGCCTCAAACAAGCACTGGAAGTATTTCTCAAAGCAGAAACTTTGCTGGAACGACCGGATCATGAAGTGTATCATTACATTGGGGAACTTTTCTACCGAAATTTTGGTCATCCCAAGGCAGGGCTGCCCGAGGCGAAAGAGTATCTTAAGCAATCCATCATGTGCGGTAAGCACATCGATAGCTATAAGATTTTGGCAGAAATTTACATCGAGGAAGGAGATCATCTCAAGGCGATTGAGATGATTGAAAGTTGCCTGCTGTAAGTTTGGTCGGTGGAAGTAAAGTAAAGCAAGTTTAAGACTGTATGGAAATGTTGTCACGTTTCAGAATATCCCAAGACGATGTGGCAATGATGACTCAAATTGGCATCCTATATTTGAAAATCAACGAATATCAACGAGCATTCGAGAAGCTCCTGGATGCAATTGCCATTGACGATAAATGCGCAACTGCTCTGCTGGCGCTTGGATCCATTCTTCAGGTAAATCGAGAAATCAATTCCTCTTTAATAATTTAACAATCTGTTTCATTGCTTCATAATTTCATTCGCTTGAAAAATTCAGTCCAAAAACGACATCGACGGGGCGCTGAACAAGTACAAGAGGATTTCGAACCTACCGGATGAGGGATCTGAAGTTTGGAGCAATATCGGGCTATGTTTTTTTAAGAAACAAAAGTACATAGCGGTAAGACATTTTACATCGCTTACAGCCAGAGCTATTTATGTGAGAGACGAGCAAATTTTCTCAGAATTTCAAGTTGCGTTTTCAGGCTGTATGCTGTAAAAGCAAAGATACAAGATGCTTCATTTCGAGTTCCTTAGGGATACATTTTCATTTAATTATAACAATTGTGCTGCTGCTGACGGTTGACTGTCACAATGCGATGATAAGGATTTTTCAGAGAACCGAAAAAGTTTGCGTACAATCTCTTGTATTTATCTTATCGTCGTGAAGCATGCTGAACACTTTTGCTCGCACCGGAAACTTGCTCCACAATCTTTTGAATTCTTTTCTTAGGCCGTAGAAACTCATCATTCAAAACTATTTCCATTCCTTTCATGAATCGGAAACGCGAAAAATTACGCTCAATGAAACTAATCATGGCAATAACAATGGCAGGCGATATCGTGTCTGAAGAAGGCGATTTGGGTCGCACCATTGAATTTTAATGCACTGTACAATCTGGGGCTGATCCTGGTAACAGGTAAGCAACCGACAACAAATGCGATGCGTGAAGGGTCCTTCCCGGTATTAGTATCGCGACTCAAATCGAAAACATTTAAGCCACGAAGGAAGGAAGGACTCTTCTGCGAAGGGCAATTGTCTGGAAAAATTTGGCTCGTCGTTCTAATCGTTATTTACTCTCTTCAACAGCTCAACAGTATGTCAGCGCTTTTCAAACGTTGGCAGCAGCTATTAGCCTTAGGCCGGATAATGCAGACTGCTACATGCTACTTGGCAGTAAGTATAAAGAGAATGTTGTTTTTATTTTCGTTCAGATGCTTTTGTTATAAGGTGCGCTACTAAAGTGTTACCATTGCACAGTGGTTAAGGATGAGAATTCAGCAGGAAAGTAGTCCTATAAGTCTTGTTTAAATATTTAGACGTTTGGTATCTTCGATGATGTTTCTGTACTCAAAAAAAAATATCTTCTTTTAGTGGTTGTAAACGTAGAAGAGGTCCTCTAATTAATTGATATTCAAAACACACGTTATTATTTTTTAATAAAGACATGTGTTGCAAACTTGTAGCTAAGTAAATTTTAAGCAGCGTTCGGGAAATATCAATAAATCAAACCTCACCAACGACCATCATGATGCTTGGCTTCTGTAGACAAAATCAACAAGCAAAGAGCTGCGGAGATAGGGGAATTTACGTATTCTCATCAATCTAAGCAGCAGCCACACTTCCAAGGGCGTAGCCAGGTTTCGAGCTAGGGAGGGGCGAAAACAAATTACTATGGAAAATTTGGCCGAATGCCATTTCACCGAACGCCATTTCCCCGAAAGCCTTTGTGTTGCTGAGTTTAGGGGAGGCAGTAAACCCCCTTGCCCCTCTATGGCTAGTAGCGTGTTGATGCCACAAATGCCGACTAGTTGGCAGTAGGTAGAAACTATTACTATGTGATGAAGTTTTTATCATAGAAAGTATAGATTGTACAAACCTAACCTGACGGATCAATTCTAGATAGAGCTGGAATTAGGGCGTAACAGCTTTTGTAAACAATGACTTCTCTCGATGATTTCTAGAAAGCCAAGGCTCGCCCACTCAAATCATCGTGACCATCGGGTAGGGGAAGACTTCCCCTTCCCGTTGGTTATGTTGGTTGGTTGAGTTTCGAGAAATCATCGAGAGAAGTCATTGTTTACAAAAGCTGTTACGCCCTAATTCCAGCTCTATCATTGTTTAATCAATCTCCCGGAGTTATACGCCAAATACATAGGTAAATTTATTACTAGACTAAAGAACTATGTTAAAGTGAGCAGAGGAATCGATATGTATATGATTGGGCCCACTGAATTCTAAGTTGAGGTTAAGGTAGGGCCTACACAATTGACTAATTGTTTGTACATCTTCTAGTTTGAAGCATCTTGAATAAAGCTGTCAAAGTCAGTAACGGTTTTTAAAGATTCCCTGTTCTCTCTCGCATCACGTGTATTAGTATTTTCTCAGCGTCACGTACACATATGACTTGTTTGTTTGTTTATGTTTATTTGCTGCTTGCTTCTCTATCCATTCCAATATACAGAATTGTCTAAAACTGTTTGAAAACGTTTGTATAATGCTCAAAACCTCTCAGATGAGTGTGACTCTTGTCGGCAGCCTCTTTTCTTAGGCAACCTTTCCATTCGAACTGTGTGTTACCCACCTGTTCTATTACCGGCCATTTAAAATCTGCCGCTTGTAGTGCGTATGTGGATTTCAAGAAAAATGTGGCATAACAAGCTGGAAGCTGAAAGATTAAGGAATCGTTTGAATACATTCAGCGAGGTGTTACAGTGAATGAGTGCTGAAGCCGACATTTACCCTATTACAAGCTGTGATATCGTTGCACCGAATATCACGCTATAAAAACTCACCTGCTACAATTCTCACCAAACTGTGGTGAATTTGAGATTCAAGATTTTTGCTTTAAGCTGGGTTTAGATTAGGCAAGTCAAATGATCAACTCAGTTGAATTCAATTGGCTTGAAAAGTTGAGCCTGGTTCAACTTTTTTCAATTCAAGTGAGTTGATCAAGTCAGTTGAATTAAACTGACTTAATCAATTAACTTTCCCTGTCTAAGCCCAGCTTTACACCCGAATGCGACACGAAACTTCCATCACTGATGGCAGCAGAATATAAATCACATAAGGGGTCGTCCATTAATTATTTCACACATTTAGGGGGGGAGGGAGTTTTTGAAAACTGTGACGAGTCATACAAAAAAAAAATTAAGGTCCATAAAAAATGTGACAAAGGGGGTGGAAAATGGGCCAAATTTGCGTGACATAATTAATGGACCATCCCTAACCAGTGCACACTGGGCCAGAAATGCAATCTAGCGGAGAAAAATTAATAACTCCGAAACGAAGAATTTCTGCGACTTGGTGTCTTCGGCAAAGTTTCTCATCATAATAAAAACCATCTGTTGACATAAACAAATAGTTCAAAACTCTTCCGCAAAGATGGCGTTACAATCTAACTTCTTTCTCTGACGATTTGGAGACTTGATGTCTTCGGCAAAGTTGTTTGCCTTGACAAAATAAACTCGAAAACAGTAGGCTGTGGAGTTTTGACTTCTTCAGAAGAGTTGTTTATTTTATCAAGATAAACAACTTTGTTTATGACGTCAATTCTTCAAAACGCCATTTTAATGCATTAAAAAAAGTTATAGAAAAAAATACATGCTCCACTAAAATAATGAAATCTCAAAAATACCAAAATATACATCTCTCAAATTTTAATATTTTGTTTATCAAGTATTGCTTAATTTTTGCTGAAAATCTCAGGTTGCGATTTTTTGCGCTCTGGGAGATATTAAAGTTAAAAAATTGTTATTTTTTCGGTTTTTCAACAATAACTTTAAAATTTGAAGCTTAAACCAGTATTTTTCTTCACAAAGGTTATTTATTTAATGCATTTGCGTAAGAGAAAAATAAAACATTATGTGGTTGTCAGCAAAAAAACCGAAACAGAAAGAAAAAAGCATATTTTCACATTTTTTTTAACTCCATATAACTCGGAATCAGTAGGCTGTGGAAATTTTACGTCTTCAAAAGAGTTGTTTATTTTGTCAAGACAAACAACTTTGCCGAAGACATCAAGTCTCCAAATCGTCAGAGAAAGAAGTTAGATTGTAACGCCATCTTTGCGGAAGAGTTTTGAACTATTTGTTTATGTCTATAGATGGTTCTTATTATGATGAGAAACTTTGCCGAAGACACAAAGTCGCGGAAATTCTTCGTTTCGGAGTCATTAATTTTGCTCCGCTAGATTGCATTTCTAGCCCAGTGTGCAGTGGTAAATATCCATGTGCATTTCACATAGTTTTCATGTGACCACATAATTGGAAATAGCATCACAAAAGTCATACGAAGCAAATGGAATTTATATGATTACTCCCATAGAATTTATTATGTTATGTGATATTCAGATAGAAAAAAATAATTGTGTTACTGGAAAAATATTAAATATGTGCGTTCCCAATTGCTGGGCTTAGACAGGGCTAATCAATTGATCAGCTCACTTGAATTCAACTTGAACGTGAATTGAACGTGTAAACCTTGCCGTTCAAGTAAATTGGTCAAATGACTTGAATAGGATAAAAATTAACCAGGTTCAACCAGGGTCAAGCCAATTGAATTCAACTGAGTTGATTGACTTGCCCTGTCTAAGCCCAGCTTAAAGAGAGATAGCAAACGAAACTTTCTCTTTCTAAGAAAAAGGTGTGCAACGAAATTAATCATGTGACGAGTCAACTTTCAGCAACAATTTTACGTGTTTTGAATAGTCTCGCAATATCAGAGGAGTTTTTGAAATCAATATCTTGCATAGTTAGTGGTGGCACGAGTACTGGTCTTTAACATGTTGTCCTTGACATTTGATACTTTTCGCAATGAACATTGTTGTTGCCAAGAACATGATACAAAAAAATAAACACGTATCACGCATTGGAAACTCACTAAAAATATTCCATCTAGAACACAATAAAATAAAATATAATACCTACCGTTGGTAGCTTGATAGGTATTATATTACAACACACTCAATACAATCTACGCAAGCAATAAATCAGCGATCTACAACTATCCACACAGTAAGGACGTGTTTCGCTTTGGTCCGAAATAAATTTTTGGCGGTTCGCTTTAGTCCGTCGTAGTTATTTTCATCGTCGTTCAATCCGCCTTTTCGTCATCGTGCCGGCCAGATTCCGGCACTATTCGCAACAACCATAGGTTAGACACACAAAAACAAACTGGCAGGTGGCAAAAATGTCGTGACATTTCTGAACTTCTTTCTGAGACAAATTTTACTCATCGCTGAGTTCCTGCACTTTTGGCGATTATGAGTGAACTAAACTCAAATTTGAGTCGTTCTCATTCGCCGTGTAAATAATGTGGAAATTGGTCGAACAGAGTTAAATAAATTAAGGCAAAAATAATTAAATCACAAAGTAGCTTTTCCAAAACATTACAGGAACGTGGCATCTTGATAAACAATCAATTCCACTTTAAAGTTCCCGTTGAATCGTTAAAGCCAACTAGAAGATGGAATACAATACCTCATTCGACCTTAAAGGCGTAAAAATCAAGTTAGAGATCGCGAATACCACGCAGTCCTAGCAACCTACATTGCTTTCAACGGCAGACAAAAGGTGACATTCCATCCCAAATTTCAGGTCTAAGAGTTGGTTTCCATCTGCTTATCCCATCGCATTCCTCAAATGCGAAGTGCACAGCAAATTGTTTTGCAGTCTGCAAAAACAATAATCAGAAGGAAAACTGTCAAGCTGTGTAAAGTTGCTCCTTTTTCATTTTGCTGTTTTTGAGGCCAGAGTATGAAAATATAGTTTTGGGAACAAATTAGAGTACCGGTAATCTGAACGAATTTAATATGAACGAGTAATACCATCGACAGACATGACCTCACATGACAGACAAATTAAAAATGAACCCCGTAAATATGCACGAAGTACCGTTCAAATTAACGGAGGTCCACGGTAATTGCAATTTTTGCCATGTGACATTGTTACTTGAACACCACGATATATATTGTTTAACAAAAAAGCTACAGTACCCCCACAATCATGGAACACCTAAACTGACTGTATCGAAAGCCACTAGGAGTAATTTAACACCATGCTCTTGCTGTATTCGGAGCATCTTACATTTTTCCAACTGGTTTTTTTTTTGCTTAAAGGATTTTCCCAGTCCATATTAAATGCGATCTTTGTTTATTTTTTGCTGATACTGCTGCT